GCTCCTTCTCTCGTACAAACGGTCGAGGCCGAAAACGCTGATGCCCATGATAGTGGCCACGATGCGCACGTCCATCGCCGTAAACGGCTAGCCCGAGCCTTCCTATAAATTCCCCTCGACCCCTCACCATCTTCCCCAATCTTGCGCACCACATCCGCCGCCAGGCTGCTCGAAAGCATCCGAGTGCCCTCGCCTCTAGAAGCAACTCCGGCCAGCGCAGTGAGCCTGAGGCCATGTTCTTTTCCCCATCTTGCGCACGTTTTTGACACCTTGGGCCTGTCCAGGACACGTCAGGAGCACGAGCTCATTGTCACCCGAGCGGCACCACCACCGCGTCAGACCGTGGCGAGGTGTGACATGGTTGAGCAATCAAATTTTGTTTGACACATCCGTCGTGCTGCGTTGTGCTGACCTAACCCATCGTTCATCCCAGTGCCGTCGACGAAAACCTGAGAGCAACCGTGCGCGGGAGCAACTCCGGCGAGTGACCCTCCCCCCACCGGTCGAGCCCAGCCATCGCCACCTACGTGGTCCGGCGCAGTTTTATGTAAAACTTTTTGTGTTGTGAGGAGCTCTGCTGCTGGCTTTGCTTGGTCGTGTTTTTCTTTTCCATTTACTTCTATCGAATTTATGTACAGTATGACTTTGCAGTGGTTCCCTTAATGGAAATCAATGAGGAGGCTCATTGTTTCAGAAAAAATAATAATATGAAAAGTGTACAATACTACTCCCTCCGTCCGGGTTTATTAGGCCTCTCAGCATCACAAGCATGTCCCCTTTTATAAGGCCCCGCATTGGAAAGGTGCATGCATGCAACCATTTCATTGGTTGTATTGAAAGCTATTGTTGTTGGTGCCATGACTGAAAAGTTAATACACTTCATGTGTGCTTTTTCATTGGCTGCATGCATGTGAGAGAGTGCATTGGGAGTGGAATGGAATAATTAATGTGAGCAAATTACTATGTGTCTTGGTCTAAGAGAAGTTGTCTTTAGGCCTAATAAACCCGGACGGAGGGAGTACCTATAAGGCTGGTTGTAATGGGTAGTATCATAAGTTAGTATCATGCGTATGATACTAGTGTATAATACTACCTCCCTAATGCATAGTATCATATGGTAGTATCATAGATGATTTTATTTATTGCCATGCATGACACATACTACTGTAGCATTTATTATGATACGGTATCATGATATGATACTCAACCCTCTCTTACTTCATTTAATTCTATGCCACCTCATCAAAGTTGCCTAGTTGGCATGCATGATACTAGCTATGATACTCCCATTACAACCAGCCTAAATATTGTGCATTTTAGCCAATTCAGATCCAATTTTCAAGCCCATGATATAGTAAAAGTCATCCACCCGTTGTTTAATACGTTCACCAAGTTCTGTACTAGCACGGCTACACTCTTGAATTCCGGCTGCCTATCACAAATGCAAACGCAGCAGCATACCACTCATACACTACCGTACGCCCCTGTCACCTACTCCTAGCGTTCCTCCAGGCGGATAGCTGAGAGCTTTAAACAGAGGGGGATATGTTGGCGCTGCTGCGTGCGGCGATGGATGGATCGGTGGTCGACCGGCAAGAGCGGCAGCGCTGGCCGGCGGGAGGGGCGAGCAATTTAATTCCGGCGTTACTAGCTGCGCTGCGCTCGCCCTTACTGCGCCTCTCCCCGCTGCCGCTGCCGCGGCTGCTGCTGCTACCTAGTTGCTCTCCTTAGGTTTACATTGAATTCTTTGATCTGCCACACCTACGTGCGTCGACGCATGGCCCCTCGCCATTTGCTTCGTCCCCATCGATCGAGCCCGTGGAATCAAGGCCCCCGTCCGTCTCGTTCACGTCCTCGCCTCTGTTCCACATTCTCCACGCATAGTTCCGAGCTGGGATCGCGCGCGAGGACCCGATCGACATCGAGTCCTTTGACGCATGCACCAGATGGACGAGAGGACGACGACCGTCCTGTGCGAATGGCACAGTACGTAGACGCGGAAGTCTGATCGGTTAGCGCAGCTGCAGAAGCAGCCGGAGTACGTACGTGGCAGTAAAACTTTTGCATGGGAATGGTGCTCTTGCACTTGCACCAGAATCGCCACGACAGTAAGTGTATGGATCGATCGATGATCCTGGCATCCTGCTGCTATATTATTTTTTGGGCAAAAAACGGTGCTACTCCCTTCGATCCATATTAGTTGTCGCAGGGGAGTACCAGTAGATTTTCTTCTGAAAAACAGACGAACAGAAATGAAATCTGCACGCAGTAGGAAGTTAATGTGGATCGGATGGATGGATGCTGTCCTACTATTCCAGCGGCGTGTTGAACTCGATCGACACCGGCCCGGGCCGGCGCACGCAATTAATCGGGCGATGCGGATTCATTGCCGTGACAAGAGAAAGACGGCAGCACGCAGCAAGCACAACACATATTGCGCTTGAATACACGAGAGGACGGTTCGTTGCACCCGCCATCTAGATAGTAGTAAATGAGCCGCATTCAAACTAATCTCCTCTCACCCGGCCGGCCGGCTTCCACATTAGCTCACGACACTCCATCTATCTATCTACACACATCCGGACGCCTTATGCACCTTTCAGCTAACTTGATTGATAGCACCACTTCTGTTCTGACGGAACGGGCCACCGGATATCTATGTGTAGTCCAGGCGGCAACGCTACTCCACTAGTGAAGCTGGCTCGTCGTCGTGTAGACGCATGCATGCATGTTCCTGGTTTTTTTTTCCTTGCATGGAAAATTCGTCTGCGATCGATGCACTCTACGTATCTCCGGGGTGCCCATCAATGAGATGGAACACGTACTGTTTCGTCTTGAAAGAAAGGAAAATGTGTGTGTGCAAGGATTGTAGTCGCCACTACTATAGCAACATAAATTTCTGCGCACCAACAACCAACCAACTTTCAAACATTGCATGGTGATGGTAGCATACATGCACGGACAAGTGACACATACCAGAAGTTGCAGACTACATTTATATACGCACTTAATTATATCTACGTCATACATTCATTCAATTCAATTCATAGCACCGATCGAGCATTAGATTAGCCCCATGATCACTGCCAACTCCTCAGGTTTAAATAGCTAAGCCGGACTCTAATAGAGTACGTAGTACATGTGAACAACGATATTTTGTTACTATCATTGTTTATTACTTGCACATGTACGTACACGCCCGCGGCTACATGGATGGTCACATAGAGTACAACATTACTTGTGGTGCACTGTAACAGTCCTCGTTGCACTTATCTAGGTGCACCATGAGACGATCGATAGGAGCGAGCTAGTCCCTGCAGCAGAGCAGCTGGAGCCCGAGCTTGAGCGGCGCCGGCTCCGGCGGCGGCGGCGTGGGCCGGCTCGTCGGGTGCAGGAACTTGCAGTTGGGGCAGGCCGGGCACGCGCGGCACATCATCACCAGCATGTGGCACCGCATGCACACGGCCGCCACCATCTCCATGCCGCCGGACGCGCTGCCCGGCGCCTGATCCCCGTGACGATCGCCTCCCGCCGCCGCTGGCTTGGCCTCGGCCTTCTTCTGCAGCTCCTTGACGGGCGAGCTATGCCGCGGCTCGAACGCCAGGTTCAGGTCCAGGTCCAGCCCTTGCGGCCCGCAATTCGCGACGTCCTCCTCCACCGCGGGCGCCGCGCCGCCGTGCCGCCTAGGGTCCTTGGACGTCCTCTTGTGCGTCCTGGTGTTGTAGTAGTGGATCTGCCCCGACTGCACAACACACACCCACGCGGTCAGAAAACAATCACAAGCATATTATAAGTAGACTTGCAGGGACGGACGATCGAGCGATCGTCGCCGCATGGAGTACAGCAGTAGGCTAGGCACGCAGCGCACCTTGATGTCGAGGCAGCGCTGCCACTCGAGCGGGAGCGGCGCGGCGTCGAAATTGAGCTCGATCCCATCGTGCTCCTTGTCCTCCTCCTCCACCTCGCCGTCCCGCTTCCGCTTCTTGCTGGTGGCGGTGGACGCGACGACGCTGGCGTCGGCGAAGGAGAGGCACGGGGGCCGCTTGCTGGCCTCCGGCAGGAGCGCCGACTGCAGGGACACCATGTCTGTTCCCCGCTGCCGCTAGCCGCCGTTGCACTTGCTCCCTCGGCCGACGAGGATGGGACGCTGGCGTACTTGGGCAGCCGCTTGGGTCGATCCGATCCGATCCTTCCAAAGCTATATCTATCAACCTATCTATGTATCCACCTGGGCGAGCGGGGAGTCAGAGCGGAGTAAAGTGCGCGGCCGGCGTTGGGTTTGGATTCGGGCGGTGCGGGGGCGGGGCTTATATAGTGGGAGGCGAGAGCTCAGGAGGGGGCCGGAAATTTAAGAGCACAGAAGTGGTAGCCAGGATCTTAAAGGGGACACACTGCGCCCGGCCCCACCAGATGTTCACAACACTTACTACTGGCCAGGCCAGTGCAGTGCTCAGCTCAGTCGCCGCTGCACCGGCGCAGTTCAATATCTCGCACACTCGATTGATTTCTACCCTGCCCCCTTTAACCGCCGGAGCGAGCCCAGCACCTCCCAGAGACCGGCCAACTCCGGCACCGCCCAGCGGCCCTTACTGCATGCGCGTGATGATGCATGCAATGCAACCGTCCGTATGCGGGTCGAGCGAGCGAGCGATCGCTCTCGGGCATCACATGCCCGTCTTAACGCTGCATGGGCATCTGCAGTTACACATCGTTGTTAAGCTCGCCATCAGGGCATTAATCCTCTCTCCCTCTCGCGCCTCTCTGCGAGAACGCTGTCTGGATTAAAAACCTAGCTTTGCATTGCCCTCTCGGACGGACACGGGCGCTTAATTAGGCGGTGATGCATTCGGCCCGCTGATGCGACGGCTGGTCGATCGGTCCGTCGAAAGCGGGTATTGATTACGGGCCGGGGCTTAACAAAAAAGCCCCTCATTTAAGGGGCGACCTCAAGTTTCAGTTGGGGGCTGTGGATGCGACGGCGACGCGCGCGACCGCATTCATTAGCGCGAAATGGATAGGGATTAATCATGCCGGGTTTTTGGAGTGGGAGGCATGGCAATGGCAATGCCATCGCCATGCCAGTCTAGTGTACTCACTGTAGACTGTAGAGGGAATTGGGAAGATGATCTCGATCGATCGATACAATCAAGAGGTAGCTAGGTGGTACTAGAGCGGCCTTGATTAATTGCCTTCATCTTCATGCAGGGTGGTGCTAGTGAGTAGCTATTCTATACTACTAGTATGAAATAATCTCTCTTAGCCCGTGTGGCAAGTGTCAACTTCAATTCTCTCGCTCTTCTTCTTGCTTTACCCGCCTTTGAAGCAAGGTGGTTGAGAGAGAGGGAGGCAATTAATCAGCAGTAGCTAGCATGCCGGCGTGCCTCAGCATGCATGAGTACGTACATCGGGGTATTTAGTGGCAGTAGGAGCGTATGAGATACGCTGCGCGCACAGGCACAGGCACAGGCGGTGAGGTACGTACGCGGTGCTGATCTACGACCACGTTACTACTCTACTCTACGTACGTACGTAGGAGCAGTAGAATGGGCCGGCGGAGGAGTATTTGAGTACGTTGCAGCGGGAGTAATGCGAGACTTATATTTACTGGCGAGGCACCACACGCGCAGACTGAGCTATAGTTCGTACTACCACCCGGCCAGCCAGCTGGGCCGCCTTTAAGGCCGTAGTATATCTTAGTAGTTCTGACCTTGAGGACGTACGTACGCAGTAATAAGTAAATGAATGAGCAATACTGCATGCTCGAGCTCGCTCGACCATGGCAGTGGCAGGGGTCTATAGTAGTATAAATGATCGTGCGAAGTATAGCAGCATGCAGCAATAGATTCAGGCCTGCTCCTAGCTAACAATTAACAAACCACCCCAATTGATGGCATGCACGCATGTAAACCTAACCATATATACATATATACATATTACTACGTCCTCCGTGGACGATAGTAAAGATTTACCATTGTTGCTACGTCGCAGAAGCTTCCATGGTTTCTACTCCTAGCATGGAGGAGAGCCTGGCACGTGTCCGGCACGCGGGGCTCGAGAGAGGGGGTGAGGCACCGGCGAGGTGAGGAGATCGATCGATCGAGCGAGCGAGCGATCGGGCTCCGGATGGATACACAGTTGAGGCCGGAATGAATGCTGGCTAGCGCTTCTCATAACTGCAAGTTCCAATTTTGGGTCGCCAAGGGGAGCCCCGGATTTAAGGCGGCCCAACACCCGCTTTTAAACCCACGAGTTAAAACCCTTCAGCTCGCTCGCCCTCGCCGTGGCGTTGGAAATAAATCCGGCTCCGCCAACCCACCCCGCCCGCGCTTTAAAATCCGGCCGGAGGCGAAGTTACGGGGCTGCCCCCCTCCGCTCTGCGCAGTGCAATGCAATGCAATGCACGCCCATCAATCTCCTGCCGATCGACCCCATGAAATTAGCTGCGTGGCTTTTATGGCCCTGTCGTCCGTTGGATTGCCATTGCCATGATGATGCATGGTGGTGGTGCAAGTGCAATAGCTCCTGCCTCGTCCTACCCCTCCCCTCCCGCCTACTAGCCTGCCCTGCCTGCGTGCTGTGTACGAAATTTCTAGCGTGCAGTGCTGCTATCAATCTACACTAGCAATTGCACCTAGGCGTTATTTATGAATGGTCTGATACGTACCGGCGCACGGTGATATACGATGTATACTTTGTAGAAAATATTGGATGACTAATGTTTATGTGTTGTATTGATCTGACCCTTGTGTAGGGTATATATAGGAATACAAGAGGGGTAGAGACTTGGAGTACAAGACAAGTTACATGTGGTTTAAACCAATCCTATCTCTAACTCCTAATCTCTAACTTAAATATAATTATACTTCTAACATTCCCCCTCAGTCGTAGCGGGAGTGAAGCGGACGATGACGACTGAATTTGAACTCTTGTGCTTTCGTCGTCTTCTCCGCCGCGCCATCATCAACTGCGTCTCTGATGGTCGGCACCTAGGGCGGTGACTGCGTCCCCTTCTGGTGCCTTCCTGCCTTCTCCTCTATTCCCTCCCGCAGTCACAGCGGGAGTGTCGTGGACGCAAGTGACGAGGCGGACGCTGTTGACTGGAGTTGTTGCCGATGAGTTGTTGTAGACGTAGCCTTTAATGTCGAGGTAGCCGATCATGGTGATGTAGCCGTGGTCGAGGTAGTCGTGGTCGATGGTGTGGTCGTCGTGGATGATGAAGCCGCACAAAGCCGGAGGCGCAAAAAAAATGCGCTATGACGGAGCTGCAGACGTGGACGATGCACCTTGCTGATGTCAGAGGGTGCCGTCGGCGATGAGTCCACCGATTTTGCCAAGACCGGAGGAAGCCCATCGAGCACACATCGGTTTTGCCAGAACCGTGTGGCCGTGTAGGGTCGTCACTGTAGTGACGCCGTGTCGATGCAGTCGTGTAGTTATGAATGACGCGGTCGATGCCGTCGTCGTGACGCGGTCATTGCCGTCGTCGAGGTCGCGTCTTGCAGACAAGTCTGTCAGAGGATGCTAGATGTCCATCTTGTGGACGAGGCGGCGGTAGTGTGTTGATGATGATGGTGATGAAGACCACGTTGATGAAGACCTTGGCGATGAAGTGTCGATGATGTAGCGGCGTGTCTACGATGATGCGTCGCTTGGAGACGTCCCTCGTGGCGACGGATGTCGATGCCGTGTTGTGCTGAAGAAGACGATGATGTAGTCGTACAGCTTGATGAAGTGGTTCGGTGAAGAATTGTTGTTGGCCTCGGTCCTGCGATGGTCGGCTCGGTGTAGCCGGACGTGTAGCCGCCATGTACGTACCGAGATAGCTGCAGATCTTGTGGAGCGGAGTAGATCGGATCAAAATCTCTGCGTGAGAGGGACGCCCTCCCGTGATCGGACGCGCGTGTCCGCACAGCAGCGAGGCGCCCGCGTTGCCGGTCGACCCTGCAGAAGGGCCGTGGTTGGAGTCCACGGCTCATGCCATACGCATGTTCATCATGGCGAGTCAGGCCTGTGGCCAGTGTTGCCACGCACGTATGCATGTGCACATGGCCGTGTTCTTGCTGCTTGATGCGTGCATGGGCCATGGAGTCGATGAGGCTGCAGGCTCTTGCGGTCTTGCCGATGGACTGCGGCCGTGCGCGGCATGGCTGGGCGGATTGTCGATGTAGAGCCCATGCGCACTTGGCGCTGGTCGTCGTTGAGAGCCGAAGCGCGTCGGCGTCCCTGGTCAGTGCAGACGAACTGGCCTTTGCGACGCGGATGTCCACGTCGTGCCCCATGCGTTGCCGCAGGCACGCACAACCGTGTACATTGACATTAACTTGATTCACCGGAATTTGATCTGATCGTGGGATTTATTTGTGGCTAAATTGGATCTAATCTATAAAGCTGAAAATTTCGAAATTGATCTAAACTAATGTATAGAACCGATCTAGTCTATGTAACTGATCTAGTGCCACGCCCATGTAGAAAATATTGGATGACTAATGTTTATGTGTTGTATTGATCTGACCCTTGTGTAGGGTATATATAGGAATACAAGAGGGGTAGAGACTTAGAGTACAAGACAAGTTACATGTGGTTTAAACCAATCCTATCTCTAACTCCTAATCTTTAACTTAAATATAATTATACTTCTAACATACTTGCCGGGTCAATATTAGGCACTCAACAAGGGCTAGTTTACTTTGGATCATCATGTAACTAATTAGGTTGTAATGGTGTGTAATCCCGAGTAACGGTTTATCGAAAAACTGAGCACACGTCTGGCAACGTTGAGGAACACCGCATCCAACAGATGGAGGAGAATGTGAGGACGAAAAGGAAGAAGGGGGAGAGGGGAGGGCTGATCGCGAGAAGATGGCAAGGTGGCACGACTCATAAGGCGACCAGTCTGTAATGGGGACCCCATTAGGCTTAGAGGCATTCCATATTAGGGCGAGGTGATCACTACGACTTGACACCGGTAGAGTCATGGG